AGGTTTCAATAAAGCACATTCTTGGGTGTTATCAATCACTGTATCTGTGATAAAATTTCAAAAACAAATAACTTTATCTGTGGTTCCGTGTTTCTGTGCCACTTTCATGTAGTCCTGGAACTAGGCTTCAGTTCTGTTACATTACTGTTGAAGTGAGTAGCTTTCAGCTCTGTAAATATCAAGTCCTGCCTTTCTTCATAAGAATTGGTTAATTACCATCTCCTGCTCTTAATTGCAGTAAGGTTACAAATGTGAAAAACATCAAAATCCTTAGAGGCAGCAAAACCTACAAATGCAGCAAAACTTAAAACCCCATCCTGCTCTATTCCACACAGATTTGCTCTGGTTGTAATTATGCAGCACTAGAGCAGAAGGCCATGCCATAGAGGTTAGGCCTGAGGGTGGGGCTTCCCATCCTGCCCCACTGCCCACTCTTTCTGATCTTGGAATTCTTTTTCTGTGCCTCATAGAAGAAACATGTTGTGGCAGGATTTACATATAAAGCTCTTAGAGCAATGTCCAACACATGCTCAATATGTCAGGCGTCAATTTTACACACATAAGCTCTTACGCACATGGAATATTTGCATTGTGGGTAAATGATTTGTTTCCATGGGAACTTAACTGTTATATTTCCAGGCTCTTACTCCACTATTTTCTTTTTGTAAAAAATAGAAATTTATAGGCTACAATTTTCATTCTTAGTACTGCATTAACATAAGTTTTTCCATTTACTGCCCTGAGGGTTTGCATAAGATTTTTTTTTTTTTACACTGCTTTATGGGTCTGGTATTTTTAATGAGTGTGTATCTTGAATTCACATGTTGAGAGTGGTCTTGTTCTGTATTCTGTTACTTTGGGGCATCTGTTTTCTTGTGTATAGGGAAAAAATGGGAGTTGGTGTAAAATAACTGAATTCCTGTGAAATTATACTGCAAAGCTGACTTTTGAAAATTAATAATTTACCCTATCATCCAGTCACTGAGAAAAAATATTATCTTCTGACCCAAATATTATCTTCTTAGAAAAGGTGGATTCAGAGCAATAAATTTACATAAAATAAAAATTACCTAGATATTGAAAGCTTTTACTTACAACATGAATATTAGGGAAATTTAATTATCTAGAACAGTTTTATCTAGAATTATCTAATCTAATTATCTAGAAATAGACCACGATCTATATTATATATACATATCTATGCAATTTTTAATTTACTAGAAGCCACATTAAAACAAGTAGCAAGAAACATGTGAAATTAATTTTGATGATATATTTTAATTAGTCCATTGTATTCAAAATACCATCTCTACAAGTCACCAATATGAGATAGTTTTTTTTTTAGTAAGTTTTTGAAATCCAGTGTGCATTTCATATAATACATTGCCACAAGCACTACCTACATACAAGTGCTTATCCTCAGATGTGGCTACTGGTTGTCCCAGTGGAAAGAAACACTATTTCTCTATTTTATTTCTCTCCTTTGGCCATCCAAGAACTAGGAGCTTTGCTAAGAGATTGAATTTGAAGTCACCACAACAGCTAATCATCCTTCTGAGGAAGGGACCAGAGCACACTTCTATTCTGTAAAATTAATTAGAATTGTGGGGTCAGAATCCATTCCCTATATTTCCAAAGTCTCACACAAATGAGGAAAAGAGGTCCAGGTCTTCCTTTGGCAGGAGACCCAAATTCGGAGGCCTCTGGTGCAATACATTAAGGATTTTTCTGCCAAATAAAAATGAGGCTGATTATTCTTAGTCTCACAGCAATGATTGGCACCTTAGCATTTGCAAAACATCTCTTTAGTCTCCTCATGGAGGAGCTGACTGAGGAGTCCCAGCTTGTCACCTTCCCAGGGGTCTTAATCAGATGCTAAAGAAACAGGTGTAGAAGACTGGCCTTCTGAGGCCTGCCAGGCCCCTCTTTCCATTTTTTTCTGTTTCATCCAGACATTCCTTGTACTGTTCTCTGTGGATTTCACTTGTTATTACAACTTCCTTCACTCCACTTCCAAGAGCGCTGCTTTCAAGTCACCTAGATTGAGACCTCTTATCACTGACACCACATGCCCAGGCATCCAGGTTAGGAGCCTTCTTTCTCCAAATCGAATCTACCTTCAGATCCAGTCCCTTGACCTCTGAACCATCCCTTGAACCCATCCCTTCCTGTCCCCCTGCCACTATCCAGGTGACACTTCCTTCTTGTTTGTTTGCATTACTGACCCGACCTCTGGAGTCCCTGTCTCTCCCATTGTCCTCCCTTTACTCCCTATTTTATTTTCCACACTGCTGCCAGTGTAAGCTTTCTAAAGTGTAGATCCAATCAGGTCATTATTTTGGTTTCAAAATGTTTATTACTGCCTCACTGTTATCTATATGTTATCTATATAGATGGTAGATGTCAATCCTTTTTTATAAGCAGAACCCCCAATTTTTTCAATGAGGGGTTAGCAGGAATCCCAGGATATAAAACAAATAAAACCTGAGCTGTTCTGTGTGGAGCAGGGACAGAGATCACAGATCCTGACCTAAAGTACTCCCTCCAGGGCCCATGGTAGCTTCAAGGAACCCCTACTCTTCTGGACACAGCTAGAGCACTACTGCCAAGTGGAAGGCCTGTGAGTCTTGGTCTGACACTCCAGGTCATATGGAATCAGGGTCAAGTCCAATTTGGCAGGTCAACACCTGCCACTCCACTGCACATTCCTCGGGTCCTACTACACAAACCCACAAGACCCAATGTGCCAGGCATTTTTGAAGCTCCATAATGTAGCCTTGGAACTCCACCTGCCAGGCATGTCCTCCTACTCACTCCCCTGGATGAGATCCTACAGGCCCTCCCAGGTTTAGCACCAATGTCACCCTGTATCAACCTTCCCTTATAAACAACCCACACCAACTCCTATATGAACAAAGCTCTCTCTCCGGAAATCCAATTAAAGTTACTATTTAACATTTACTTACCACATCTATTTCCTGGAGATTTATCTGCTAGCAATATTGTGGGCAAGGGCCCTAAATTATCATTCTAATTCTAGTCCAGACTTCCAAGAAGATAAGACTATATCCTGCATCATCACAGAGTGAGTTGGCCTCAGTTTCACCAAGAGCTCTGAGGACCTTCAGAGAAGGCAAGAAGCCAAAGAACCCTGCATTAAGAATGGAAGTCCTTGGGTTCTAACTTTGGCTCTGCTCCAAACTAGGTCTTTTACCACCAGCCATGTGCTGCTATGATTTTAGTGCTCTTGGCATAATGATTACAATAATTCTAGTGGCTAATATTTATAAGGTAGCAGCTCATGCCAGGCACTGTTGTAAGTTTTTTCATGAATGAACTGATTTTTACTTTATAGAATGAAAGCTGTAGTATTTACTAGACAAAGCCCTTTATCCAGTTACATCTGGGGCTGAAAGATATTACGGATCATCTGTTGCAGTACTGAGGAAACTGGGACTCACAGGTGAAAAGGACCACTCAGGTGACCCAGCAGGTGACAGAGCCTGCTAGTAACTGCTGGCTCTGCTGTGCTGTGCTCTCACCCACACCACACTGCTTCTCTGGGACAGGAGTTGGAGTGGCACTGGCCAGAGTCACATTTGGAGGTGCAAAATGTTTTACAGCACTTGATGATCTAGGAGAGCTATGTTTTAGCTATAATAAAGAGATGTATCAGCTATCAGCACAACTCAGTTCATGCCTAAACATTTCCTAGTTATTCCATTTGAAATTTGATTTTTTAAAAAAAGTTGCCACCTAGTAAAAATTACAATCACAAAATAATTTCTCTAACAGGTATGAGTAGTGTGCCATTAGAAATCTAAGCAGAAACAATTTCTTATGCTCAGCTATAGATGTGCTAATGACTGTACTTGAAACCCCTGGAGCCAGAATGGGCTCCTGGGGAGGCTCAGTCACTCTAGTCCAGGCTGCTACCACTTGGCTTCAAGGACACTGTCACCATGACCCTCTGGTGTAAGTCTGATCATAATTTTCTTAAAAGCATGTCATCTTAATCAGCTGGTGCTTCTATAACAAAACACCATAGACCAGGTGGCTTAATAGCAGACATTTATTTCTCACAGTTCCTGAGGCTGGGAAGTCCCCTAAGTAAGGAGAGGGGGAGGGAGGGAGAGAGAGAACATATTTCCTCTTCTTATAAGGACACTAATCCCATCATGGGAGCCCCACACTCATGACTTCATGGAAACATATTTACCTCCCAAAGGCCCTACCCCCAAATAATACCACACTGGGGATGGGTGGATTAGACTTCACTATAGGAATTGGGGGGGGGGGGAGGCACAAATATTTAACCTGTAACATGTGCCTCAAATGAAAGTTCATTTCCTAAGAAGCAGCTTGATATCGTGGGAAAAGGAGAGAAGCTGAAGTCAAAACTCCTGGCATTGACTGAGTGACCTTTGGGAAAACCAGAGAATATGGCCAAGCCTCATGCCCTCTTAGATGTTCTCAGCGCCAGTGGCCCTGCCTGGTGGGGGTTGTGAAACTCCAATGAGATGTGAAAAGGACGGGGGTGAGTATTCGAATGCTCACTTTTCCTATCTAAGGGGTGACCATAACTGGGGAATGTTATCCAGAACACTTACCTCTCTGTACCCCAGAGAAGAGCACAGCACAGGGTGAACACAGCAGCCTGGGAGAAGCCCCATGTCTTTCACGTAGCCCGCTCTGTGCAGCCCCTGCCCCCCACCTTTAAAGGTAACCCTTGACCTTCCCTACAGCTCCCTCCACCCTGGCTCTGCCCTAGCCTCCTTCTAGTCTGCCTCCTTCGGCCGCGGGCGTTGAGGGGTCCCAGAAAGGCCAAGGCAAGCGGTGCAGGGCAAGGACTGCGGCACCGCCTGGCTCAGGCGCATTGTGAAGTGGCCAGAGCGTCACAGGTGACAGGGAGCCCCAGAATCGGAGGGCGGGGCAGGTCCCCGCAGCGCGCCTTGGCAGCCCAAGGCCCCTGGCCCCGACGCTGGGCGCCTGGAGGTGGTATGGAGGGCTTTGCCCACTTCTCCCCGCCGCCCTACCCAGACCTGTGGGGGACTTCGCCGCCCCGCGGAGAGGGCACTGCGTCCGCGCGGCTGAGCGGGCCCCGGGCGCAGGCAGAACCCCGCCTGTGCTCCTGGGCCCGGACTCCCCGCGAAGGGAGCGAGGCGGCAGCGCACTGGCAGCCCCAGGGCAGCGCACCCACCCCCTGGTCTCGCGGGCACCGGTACCACGACCTGCCGCGGGAAAGCCGTAGCCTGACCGACCTGGCCCGGAGGCCGCCGCTGCGCGCGAGGAAGCACAGGTCCCGCTACCGGCACCTGGAAGACGCCTGCAGGGAGACAAAGACCAAGCCTCAGTCCCAGGAGGGCAGTCAGCACACCCTCACCTGGCAGGAGCAGCCCCAACAATCTCCTCTCTACCAGCATTTCCCTGCAGCCCTGGGAGATTCACCCCCACCTTACCCTGAGGGCACTTACTCTCCCCTGAGTGACACTTTGGGGGTGGAAAAGGCGCAAAGTGGAGATCAGTGGGCTGTGCGGGTCTGCAGAGCACAGGGTCTCAGGTCCCTTTCCTCCGTTCCCACCGAGAAGTCCCAAGAGTTCAGAACTCCCTCCGCTTGCGGGTACACCCAGAAAAAAGAGATCAGTGACCTGGTGGAGTCATTAGCCAGTCAGTACTCCCAGCCTTCAGTCTCCAGCAAGGAAATACAGAGCCAGATCCTCAAGCATAAGCTGGAAGAGGTGGTATTGTCCTCCAGAGACCAGAAAATTGTGGCCCTAGTGCTGACCCGGCTCAAGAAGGCCCAGAAGATGCGGGAGCTGCAGCAGCAGGCGGCTGTAGCCTGGGAGGAGTTGAAGCAATCGGACCAGAAGGTCCAGATGACTCTGGAGAAAGAAAGGAAGCTGCTGCTGCAGGAGAGCCAAGAGCAGTGGCAGCAGGTGGAGCAATGCAAGACTCGGTCCAACAGGGAGCAGCAGCGTGACCGACAGCGGGACAGCCGAACCAAGCACGCCACGCACCAGAACCCGTGGAAGGCGCAACTGGAGGACCGAGAGAACCAGCGCCAGGAGACGTCAGAGAGCGCCCATGCTCTGGACCAAGTGAACCAGTGCCATAAGCTGGAGAAGGCCCGTGCCCAGGTCCAGGAGAACCAGCGCCAGGAGAAGCTGGAGAAGGTCCACGCCCAGGCCGAGCACCGGAAGCAGTGCCAAGCGCAGCGCTTGCAAGAGCAGGAGAGGATGCTGCAGGACCTGCAGGAGTACGACAGCCTGCAGCTGCAGAAGAGGCTGGAGCAGGCCAGTCACAGGAAGCAACTGCATACGATGGAGACCCAGGCGAAGGTCCAGGAAGCCAACCTTAGCTCCCTAGTCAATTATCAGGCCCGGAAGGTTCTGATGGACTGCCAGGCCAAGGCGGAGGAACTCCTCAGGAAGCTGTCCCTTGAGCAGAGTTCCCAGTGGTCCCAAGAGATCCAGCAGAGCCTGGTGAGGGAGCGTCACCGAGAACGAAGGAACAAGGCCCGGAGGGAAGAGGAACAGTTCCAGCAGGTCAGGTCGCGCGCGGAGGAGTTAGAGGCACAAAAGAGGATGCACAGGCACTTGTTGGTGGAGCTGGAGGACCAGAAGATCAGGCAGGCCAGGAGTAACGCCCACAAGAACATCAGGGACAAGGTGCAGCATCTTCGGGAGCTCAGCATCCTGCGGGAGAAGAACCATCACATCCTGAAGTTGAAAGCCGAGAAAGAGGAAAAGTGTCATATCGAGGGCATCAAAGAAGCCATTAAGAAAAAGGAGCAGAGGATGGAGCAAATCTCGCGAGAGAAAGATGCCCACTTCGAGGGCCTCCATAAGATCTCCCGGGCCTCCAGGAGAGACCACCGAAGAGCGACCCCTAGCAGCTACTTTGGGGGTCTTGCGCTGGAGGCCCAGCTCTCGGCCTGTCAACAGAGAGGGGGCTACTGAGAACCAGAGATAAACAGCTCACAGCCCAGGCGACCAGAAAGAGATGTGGCAGGGTGATACAATTTATAATCTGGTTATAATTGAGCATTGATTTTTTTAAGTATATAAAATAGCTACAATTTCCTCTCATGAATTAGTTTATTGATTGACTTGGATAGTTGAACGGATAGGGAATAGATATTGGGGGTTTTAAAGGAAATTACTTGTTTTTGTAACTTTTGATTTAAATAGAAAATATTCATTTAGGTCTCAAGTAATCTTCAAATCATCATGTACTAATGGAGGAATGAGAGAAAAATCTATTGTAGGGGATACAGTTTTGTGTCATGTTCCAGAACCTAGGAAAGGGTGAAGTAGTCAGTCATAAGAAATGAAAAATCTCAAAGGAGAGATTTCTGTAAGCTAGTAGATTTGGACATTCTTGGGAGTTTATAAGGCACATGAAAATTTTAAAGGCCTGCAGTAAAATGGGTTTGTTTAACCTATCGTTTTCACAAACCATGAAACCTTCTTTTTCTCAGATCATCCCATGGAATTGTTACTCTGTGAAATGTTTTTGGAAATAGTTCCTTTCGGATTGTGAACTTCTTTGGCCTTTTCTCCCTGTGTTGATAGGAAGTGTCCCTAATTCCTTCAACACTACTGCTAAGACTATTCTACCACTGCCAAGCTATCTAGAGCTCACTGGAAACTATTGGATCAAATTCTCTTTTTCTTTTTTGTCAGTCCTATCTAGTCTTTTGGAACAAAATTCTATTGGAATTCTCTTCCTCTCTGTTTCCCCTCTATCTCTTCTGAGGAAGATATATGATGTCATTCTGTCTACCCACATTGTATCTAATTAACCTAACCAAGCTCCAAATGAATGACTAAGCATGATTCAGTAACCTGACATTTTTAAAATAAGAAGCCAGAAGCTAAGTAGAATTTAACCCATCACATCTCAAAGTCTCCATGGAAAAATTCTAAAAATGTTTTACTTAAAGGACTCTGATGTATCATTTATCTTAAAGAGAGAGAAAGAATAAGCCCCATTTGAAGATTTTTGCCTTAATAGTATTTTTTAAATGATGTGAAAGGTAACCTGGTAAGGGATTCTGTTCAGAGTTCATTGTGAGATGCACTTTCTCATATAATGGAAACAGGGACCCTCTTCTCTATTTGTAATCCCCCTGCTGTGGGTCACCTCTACATGCTGTTCCCAAAGAGGCTGACTTGGGCTCTTGCTTCTTTGCTCAAAAATGTAGGGGCCATACATCTTGCCTCAATTTCTAATCTTATTCTCCCTTCCGAATCAATACCCTGTTCTAGCTAAATGTCATGTACACTCCAGGCATTGTGGGAGGGTAACGGTGGGGATATTTCAGTCAGACTTCCCACATACCCTAACTCCACCTCTTAATATACTTCCATGACTTTGGGGAAGTCACCTTCCTGAGCCTCAGTTTCTTCATCTGTAAAGTAGAATAAATTAGATTTCAAGGGCTGTCTTGATGATTAAATAAAGTAATATGTATAAAGTGTGTGACATAGTACCTAGAGTCTAACACATACTCTACAATTAAATATTGTAGCTTTTATTATTGATAATACTGACCTCCAAATTTTGTTACTTCCATTCTACCTACTTGATGCCTTCACACCAGCTATCTCCTCCCATCATGTCCAAATCTGCTTTTTCTGAACCAAGTACCCATTCAGCTGCTCAGTGGAATGTGGGGCCTCCCTGCTACCACTTCTTGTCATCACCCTTCTTTGATGAAGGGTGGCTTCAGAACAAGAAGATCTCAAACTCAGCATGGCTGGCTGAGCATTGCAGTTATTGCTTTATGATCACATCCATTTTGTGATCCACATTTTGGCTGCAAACTAGGCTGCATGTTACTGGAGGGCAGGGCCACTGTCTTCAACTTCTTTTACACATGTTTAAATGGTGGTCAATGGATGGTAAAGATGAAAGCAATAAAGCAAATTGTTTTGACAACACATCTATAGGCCATGCCTTTTGCCCGACTTTTTCTCTGCTCCAAGAAATAATAAATAATGGATTTCATTCTTTTATCCAGTTCTTTGTGAATATTACTAGTGAAAATGATCAATACAAAATATAACTGACAACATGAAGTAGGCTTGTGTTTCCCTATTCCTCCTTTATATGTATTATATATTTTATATTATAAATATTAACATAGAATGTTGAAAATATTGTAAATATTACATAAAATATCCCACACATTTATAGCCTCTATATGTGCATGTATTATATATACATCCTGAATATTATATATGAAGCAAACATGAAAAGACTCTGAAGATGGAAGGAAATACAAATAGCTAAAGATTTCAGGACTTGAGGAACAACATAGTGGTCATTCCTTAGAGTTCCATTTTGCCTCATATCTTCCAGACCTGGCACTAAAGAAACCAGAAACCCCCAAACCAAACTCCTCCCCCAAATAGATTAAAGAAGCCCTAACAGAAGTTTGCTCTCTCAAACTTAGGAAAAGGGCAACCTAGCAAAAACTTCCAGATAATAACTCTACTCCAGCCAAACACCACAGGAAAACCCGTGGCCCCAGTCATACCCATGCCAGCAAAGACTGGGGGGTCAAGCACTTTCCCCTCCAGGCTGTGAAAAGGAGCCCTCCACCCTGGCAATGCCAGTTGTGACCACATGAGAAGCCTTGACTTTTCAACCACCACCATCACAGAGTAACAGGGTGCCCCTTATCTCACTACAGGATGGTGTCAGAGGAAGCCTCATGGAGAATAAAGATGTTTATTGCCCATCCAGCAACAAGTCACATGTTCCCCTGTCGGTGTCAGCAGGTGTTGTATGAGGGGCAGTAACGAGACAGTCTTAGCTCTCCCCATCATGAAGTGTCAGTAGATAGGGGCCAAGATTCCCAGTGATGCAGCAGTGATGAGGAGCACTTCTCCCAAGATGCACAGACGTGTGAACACACACCCCCACACATACTTCAGGTGGCAATGAAGGCTGAGTGCGGAGCCTCACCTGTTGTCAGTGAGGCCCAACCTTTCTGGTGCAGCTTGAGAGGAAACAAACAAACAAAAACTTAAATAAGAGCCAGAGTTTTAAAATATCCAGGTTGTAATGGAAAATCACTCTTCATACCAAGAACAAGCAGATCTCAAACTGAATGGAAATGACAAATTCAATAGAAGCCAACAAGCGGATGACAAAAGTTAGAAATAGCTAAAAAAGGATATTAGTCATGATAAAAATGCTTCAACAAGCAATTATGAATGCACTTGAAACACACCCAAAAAAATTCAGTCTTGGCAAAAGTCTCCATAAATTCTCAATAAAGAAACAAAAAGTACAAGAAACAAATGGAACAAAATAAAAATAACAAAAAATGGAAAGCTCAATGGATGGGCTCAACAGAATGGAGGAAGCAGAAGAAAGAAACTTTAACAACAATAAATATTATCCAATCTTAGAAACAGAAAATTTATGGGGGAAAAACACTTGGCAGAGCCTCATGGACCCAGGAAACTACAACAAAAGATCTAACATTCGTGGCATGGGAATTCCAAAAGGAGAAGAGGAAGAGGGCAGGACTGAAAGGTATTCAAGGAAATAATAGCTAAAACTTTTCCAAAATTGGCAAAAGAGCTAAATCTATATATTCAAGAAATAAGTGAGCCCCCAAAAGTATAAACCTATAGAAATCCATAAGACGTATCATAGTTGAACTTGTAAAGTTGAAGAAGATAAAAAATTCTTAAGAGAATGAGAATACAAGCTACAGACTAGGAGAAAACATTTGCAAACATGTACTCCAGAGCGAAAACAAAACCAGAAACTATCAGAGACAGAAAGACTGTAAACTTATGACAATCAACCCACCAAGGAGACAGCAATTCTAAATATGGATTGCGCAAATAGTGTTACACATATGTAAAGCAAAAGCTAATAGAAATGGGAAAAAACAAATAAATTCACAATTGTAGTTGAAAACTTGAACATCCTTCTTACAGTAATTGATCGACTATTAAAAATAAAATAAAAAAAGATTCAAAATTCAACGGCATCATCCAATAAGACCTAAACATTTGCAGGCAATTCCAGCCAATGGCAAGCAACAGAATAGATATTTTTTTTTCCAGTCCCAATGGAACATGTACCAAGAAAGAACATATCCTGAACCATAAAGTAAACTTAAGAAACTGAGAAGAATTAAAATAATAAAAGAATAAAAATCCAAAGAATTAAAATCACAAATATGTGTTCTCTGACCACAATAGAATCAAACTAGAAATAAATAACAGAATGTTAACAGGAAAATTTCCAACACTTATAAATTAACCAAAATACTTTTAAATAATTCTTCAAAGTCTCAAAGCAAATTTAAAAAAATACATTAAACTGACTGAAAATAAAAGATGTCAAATTTGTGGGTCACAACTAAATGTGGAGAGGGAAATTTATAGCATTGACTGCATATATAAGAAAAGAAGAAAACTCTCAATTGCTAAGCACCCACTTCAAGAACTCAGCAAAAGAGCAAATAAACCCAAAGTAAGCAGAAAAAAATTAAGAGCAGAAATCAAAGTAAGAGCAAAATCCAAAAAATAGAAATTCAGTGAAACCAAAACAGTTCTTTGAAAGGCTCAATAAAATTCACAAACCTCTGGGGGAATAAAAGGAAGACACAATATCATGAATAAAACAAGGATGTCACTTTAGACTCTGTAGACATAAAAAAGAAAGGAAATTCTAGGAACACTTTCACACATAGAAATTTGACAACTTAGATAAATGAACTAATTCTTCCAAAAATACAAACTACCACAACTTATCCAATATGAAAAAAATCATTTGAATAATCACTAATAAAATTAAATTAGTAAATCAAGAACTCTTCCCTAAAATCTCCAGACCCAAAAAGTTTCATTCAAGAATTTCTCACTTAGAAAAGCATTAAAGCCATTTCTACAACTGCTTCCGGAAAACAAAAGATAATAGCATGTCCCAATTTGTTTCATGAAGGTATTACCAGTGATACTAAGCTATACAAAAAACATGCAACCTAATACCCATCAGACACAAAAATTCTTAAGAAATATTAGCACATTGCATTCAACAATATACAAAAAGAATTGTACACCACAACTATTCCAAGAATTCAGGGTTTATTCAATATTTGAAAATCAATCACCATTTTGTTAATATAACACATTA